GTACAGCTGAAAAGCGTAGACACTACTAAGAAAATTTATGAATTATGCAGAGTCATGCAACTGACTAACACGTAAAACGCCGGTTGCAAACCCCTGTTCATAAAGTGCATTAAACCATTCAGATGCCAGTGTAACATTATATCACTATTCTTGATAAAATAGGAGATAAGAATTTCTATGCTATTGTTCCGTCGGAAAACGCCTAAGCTATTGTGATATCGAGTAGAGCTATTCTTTGGAAACTATGTGACAGTTATTGGAGAAGTTTCAAAAAAAAAAAAAAAGGCCAGTTAAGAGGTTAAGAATTAAATGCTTAAAAACCTATCCCTAGGGAGGTTTTTTTTTTTAAAACGTATATTGGTTGAAAACTACTCGTTGACCATTTTATAATTAGTTTCCAATTCGTTCAAACGAAATTCTCAGATAATTAACTCCTCAAAAGAATAGGCTAATTAAGAGGATTGACTTTATGCAGAGAGTTGCTTATTCAATACAAGTGATTATTTACTAAACGAAATGAAAAAAAAGTAATAACTGTTTCTGAAGTACAGTCGACCCCTTTATAACACTGTTGATAATTCTGTTTTATATGAATTTCATGTTGTACGAGTCACTTAGATTTTACAAATATGTGAGACGTTCACAGCCCGGAACACTTATTTGTAAAATCTAAGTGACTCGTACAATATGGAATTCATATAAAACGAAATAATCAACAGTGTTATAGGGGGGTCGACTGTATTTTTTTAAAGTTAAATTGAACTAAAGAGAGATCTTTACAAAATATAAATTACAATTACATAAATTCTATATAAAATTTATGCTAATATATCAACAGATTTCGAGCCTGCAAAATCATTAATGTAATTGTAAAACGCAAATTTTTGATTATGTTTCCGTTACAAGAAAGGATTTTGTATAAATGGCACATAAATAATTTATCGTTCTCTTTGTGCATCGATTGCCTTATTCCGAAATCACAAATACCAAAGTTGGCTTGAGATATTGGCACAAAGTACACAAAAGATCATTTAATTCAACACCTTATTATAATCGATCTGGATACAGAAGAGGGATCAGGCACAAAATGTGCAATTAAGACCTCGTTGAATGCATTAATAATTCTATCAATATCCAAGTCATGCTGTGCCCATCTTTCTAGTAATGATAAACTCGATACCGTCGACGCTTAATTAAGATGCAAATCAGAAAGCAACTTAATTGGCTAGAGCTACTGTATCTATCATTCACAAGTAACTATATGCTACATAATCCATTCTATCTTGAATTATTCATTATTAGATCTGAGAAATCTCTATGGGCAATTTAAAAGATTCTACTAAAGAATACTTTCTTAATATTCGAATAGTTAATTTTTAAATACCAGTTGACTCCCCCTATAACACTGTTGATAATTCCGTTTTATATGAATTCCATGTTGTACGAGTCACTTAGATTTTACAAATACGTGAGCCGTTCACAGCACGGCATACGTATTTATAAAATCTAAGTGACTCGTACAACATGGAATTCATATAAAACAACAGTGTTATAGGGGGGGTCAACTGGGTATTAACTTTTCGAACAGTTAGATTCCATTCACATTATCATAAATTCTGGATTTACGTGCTTAAATTTATTATTTAAAAAAAAAACCAAGTACATTTTTGTTATTTCATGAGTTTTACATATACTTTTAGCCCTACTTACATAACTTAAATCGTATATTCACCCTTTATTCGTTAACACCCTTAAAATGACAAAAATTCTATCTCCCTATATACCTTTAAAACAGTAGAACTGATTCTTCTTTAGTACAATGAACCCATTTTCACATTAGATTTAACAAATGAAAACAATACTTATCATTTAATTTATATAATTTTAAAGTATTTTAAATTAAAAAAAGTTAAAATATAAATCTGAATTTAATTTCAAATCTGTCCAATTCGATATTCAATTAAATTCTAATCAGTCAGAAATTTATGTAATGTTTCGTATCTTTTATAAGTTTATTTGACAAAGTGTAAGCTTTAACCTAAATTCTCTAAAATATTCTGAGCCGTTTACAGCCCGGTACACGTATTTGTAAAATCTAAGTGACTCGTACAACATGGAATTCATATAAAACGGAATTATCAACAGTGTTATAGGGGGGGGGTCGACTTGTATAAGTGTGAAGTACGTTAGTTAAAAGTTTTCTGTTCTGAAATAAATACTAAATAACAAGAATAAACCAAAAATATAAGGTAAAGAAGAGAAGTTTGTAGTCGATTGGACTGTTTTTAATTTTAATATAAGCAAAGGAAATTAACAAAAACACATGGATTTTGAATAGATTAGAGAATACAGCACTATCCCAAATGTTTTCTTATTGATTAAAATAATATTTTCTTGGTTTAAAATAAGAAAAAAAAGCATTCATATTTGGAGATGGACACGGAGTGGTTATTATTGATCTTTAACCCAATAGTTCTCCCCCCCAAAAAATGATTGGGTATTTGCAAAAGTGCACTTGTCATCTCAATAAGTCAAGAACGAATTGTACGCTTTGAAAAAATATTTTTTTGATGGTTAAAATAGTCAATTGAAGTAAAAGCAATTTAAGGAATAAATGCTCCATTTATTGTGGATTGTTTCCTAAAAGAATATCAGAAGACATTATCGAATAAAGTTTTTTCTGAATTGTGAAAAAAAAAAAAGTTAAATCTTAGTAGTTTAAAATTTAAAAAATAAATAATATCATATATAAAATTATAGTATAAAAACTAGTCAAATAGAAACCATATTTGGAAATTAAGGTCTGTAATTAACTAGTTTTATAGACCTAATTTAGAAAATAAGGTTTTTAGTAAAGATAATATAGAAATTTAGAGTAAGTCTTACAATTACTTTAATATTTACCATTACCATTTTAAAAATATAGTACAAGTTGACCCCCCCTATAACACTATTGATAATTCCGTTTTATATGAATTCCATGTTGTACGAGTCACTTAGATTTTACAAATACTGTGTTCCAGGCTGTGAACGGTACACGTATTTGTAAAATCTAAGTGACTCGTACAACATGGAATTCATATAAAACGGAATTATCAACAGTGTTATAGGGGG